ATTATAATCAGAATATTAATAATTGGCTCAAAGTCCGAACGGACCTAAACTTGATACGGCGAGGACTAAGAGGCACCACGCGGTGGAAAAAGACAGATGAGCTTGACATACCTACACATGCCTGCCAGTGTTTATGTAACTCTTTCGCTACAATACACGGGATATGTCGCATACCTTTATTATTGATATGAAATAATTTATTTCAGAATCCAACACAAGTAATCGGTTTTTAAGATATGTCACCGTTGGTAGAAGCTGCTTAAAGATGATAAATATAAACAACTCTATATTTTATACAATTGGAGTATTTATTTGCACACAATTAGAATCTGGCGAGTGACAAGAACTGTAGACATTATAGGCGAATCCCAAATTTTTCCAGTATATCAAATAACTTGCCTGTCAACGTTACTTCTATACTAGAGCACCAATATCATTCGAGTATTACAAGAGGGATAATTGTAATCGATGTAGAAGGTCTAATATACAAGAATACAACCCATCAAAAAAATCTCGTTTAACAACAGAATGTATAATGTGCAAAAACAATGGCCGATGGAAGGAAACTAGATATATTTGTAAAAATTATTCCGCCGTATTATACATTTCATCATGCTTTTAAGCACTCCATACAAAATAAACAATAAAAGCTCTAATTCTGTATAATATGGAGTATTATATTATTTTATATTATATTATCATCTTTAAGTACCTTCCAACGACGATGACATGTCTTACAAATCGATTATTTGTGTCAGTTTTTTAAATAAAACACTTCGCATCCAATCTTGCACACGAGATATCTCGTCCATTATAGCGAAAGGGTTAAGAAAGATCATGCACAGGGTGAGAGATTTACATATAAATTTCTTTTCACTCTTAGCCTAAAAGAGCCCGAATTCGTCAACGACTCGTTATCCGCTATTCTTTAGGTGCGACACGAGCCTTGTATGCGACAAAGAACGATCGTTGCTAAGGGTTTACAGGTCGAAATAAATTGGTCAAAACACGGACAGTAGGATTGCGTTCACGTAGGCAGATCGCCGTCGATTAGTCGACGACGCGTCAATACGCGGCAGCACCGCAAAATGTTGAGTCTGCACGTGTACGTAAATAAATATATACCTCCAAGTTCTCTTCTTTCGTAAAACAGAACATACAGTTATGCGCAAAGTATTTAAATGATATGCTGCGTAAGAGTACAGGTACGACCCCGTTTCATTTGTTACTTGGTGTACATATGCGTATGAAAGAGGATCCTAAGATAAAAGAACTAATCAAAACTGAATTGATTGCGATGTTCAGTGAGAGACGCGATGAGATACGAGATCATGCAAAAGAAAATCTTTTATGGATCCAAAAGGAAATAATCATAGCTATAACCGTAAGAGAAATCGCGCTGATTTGTATCGCGACTCTAAGAACCGACTCTTAATAGTAGCGTGGCGTACTCTTCTGTCAGAAGTCGACAAGATAGGCAGCGGTGGGAAAGTGAAGCGTATGTACGTGCGGATTCTGAGAAATGTCGAGGCACTATTTTTTAGAGTTGAACGCAAGGAATAAGCGCAAGGGTGATTAAAAAGGGAAGCGCTCCTCGATCGCAAGCGCATTCGAAATCGATTATCATCAGTCGCGTTCAGTCCGAGACCAACACGGTCATGGTCTCTAATAAACTATGTAAATAAATATCACGCAAATGTACTTTGTTCGGGAAACCATCCTGATCCTTCTGACCTTCCCTTACACGACCATGATCTAATCACCATAAGAAATACACAAACTATAATGGGTTCGAAACCGCCGACAATATGAAACCATGAGTGGACAAAATGTTCGACTAGATTCAGACTTAAATTCCAATTTCTTTAAAAAGAAAACACAAAAATAATATCAGTCTACAATAGTACAAAATGAATTGATCTATTAGTTTGTCGGTATTATTTTTATAACTATTCGGTCGGGATAATGAAATCAAGATTTATAGAGAAGTGTATAATACCGGAATGAACATTCGAAAATGAAATAATAAAATTACAGTAATAACATATTTAACAAAGTATTGGATTATTCTTGAAATACAATTTTCTTTCACGCTTTGGTGCAATTTTTACCCAACATGAGAATAAACATTTATTATAAATTAAAAATACATCGCTATTGTATTGCGACGGATCGGCGCTAGTATGTTTTGGAAAACTCGATTGCCTGGAGAAGCGTGAAAGAAAAGTGTTTGGGACCAAGCGACTGGGACCGTGAGAATGAAGGGTGGACGCGACCGCGTGAATTTTGACTACGGACGAAAGGTTAAGGTGCGAGTGAGAAGGCTGTAAGTGTAAGAAAGAAACAGCGAATGGGGTGTGCTTTAAAAACAAGTGGGAATGCGTGGGCGGTTGGGTGTGCGTTTGGAGAAAGAATCAATAGCGATCGTTTAGATATCAGTCGAAATATATTTGATATTATAACCAGCAAAAGTGTTAATAGAGAATCAACCGTCCCTGTTCCCAAAGAATCCTACAAATATTACATGTATAATTAGTTGTAGCACTCATTAACAGCATGTCAAAAATATGAAGTAGTCCAGTATTATAATTTTTTAGTAATTTCTCATTTTTTGTACATGCAGTACGTGCTCCTGAAATACATACTTTTAAATATTATGTAGTGTCGTAGTTTTAAGATAGTGAGACAGCGAGTGTTCTGAGGGCCACAAAAGAGAAAAGGACTTATGGAGACCAGGCCCAAGAGTTGTTGGGTTTTCCCGAGGGATGCGTAAGCAAGGATGATGAGTGCGTGGTAGTGAGAGTAGGGTGTGTTTGAGAATTTATTGGAACTGTGAGTAAGAAGAATGCTTGTGGGGGAGAGAATGATTTTTAAGTGCGGATAGCGAGAGATCTGAGAGAGAGAGTTGCGTTGGCCTGAGAAGAGAAAAGACCTGTACACTGCGAGCTATATCATTTCTATTTATTTGTATTCTATTCAATTATCTATTCCTAT